AATAATCTCCTGTCAAGTACAATTTGTACAAATATATGCATGCATGTCCAAAAAGGAAACTTGAGGTAAGTTGTATTAACGTTGGATAAGTTTTAAAGTTAGAATTAAATTCTGCTAACACAAAACATGTTTGTTTTTATTCCTATCTTTAAAGTGGATATTAAAGTGATTCATTTAAGTGATTGTTTAAAGTTATTTTATATTTTTTTAAATAAGGGGCAGATATAAGATTTTTTTTCTTCTTTCTCTTTTCATTCAATGTTTTCTTTTTGATTTTTTTGATTTTTATTTTGTTTCTTTTAAACGAATAAATAAATAAATTAAAATAAAATGTTAAATGGCTTCAAATGCCTGCTAAGTTCATGGCATAAACCAACAGACCTGTTCCTGTTTTTAGTATTTTATATAACTTTATAATGTAGCTGTTTTATTTTTTATTTTTATATATATATATAATTTTCAAATCATATGTTTTTTTTTATTTTTTATGATTGTCTACTGTTGTACTGATAAATATCTCCTGGAGGGTAAACTATATCTTGACTGCATCAAGCTGCGAAATCCTTTGTTTTCTACAACTGATAGTGGTTGGTCATGAATTATGATGAAGTTTAGCAACTTCTCTGTAAACATTTGAGCTCCGTGGTTTCAGCGATGTCTTCTTGTTCAATCTGAAGCAAGCAGCCTGATTTCGGTCAGCCGCGCTCAGTCTGTCCCTCCTCAGAGACGGGCAGATTGAGCGGGGCAAATTGAACGCGGCTGGCCGGGGTCGAGTTACCTTTTTCGGGTTGAGCAAAGAGCAGCGCCCCGTTGAAGCCACGGAGCTCGATTGTCCAACGTAAAACTAACTTTACCGCGGTTTAATGTGGCGCTATGGCTCTGCAGACATTGCACGATGCTGTCTTGTCTTGTGGTGTTTCTAGTGTAAAATACTTCCACACAGAGGACATGTTTAGATAAAAAGTTGGCTAACTGTTAGCCACAGTGCTGCTAACTCAGCCAGTGTTGCCAGGTGATAAATGTAGGATTATTGTACTAGAGATATAAAATTATCGTTTTTTGAGGGAAATTATCGTACACCTGTCGTAACCAAAATAACAAATCTATTTATGCACTATAGTAGTGATGGGTCCACTTCTAAACCGACTCTGCTTCTTTCTTTTCTTTTTTTCTTTTCCTCACTCATAGGGTGGGCACAGCAGACTATTCAGTCAATCATGGCTGTTGTTCTGAGGCAAACGCGAACACCTCACTCGTAGGTAACTTTTAGAAAAGCACGATTGGCTAGAATTTCCAGCCAGTCGTGCATCTGTTTGAGGACACAGATGCCTTCAGGGTTCACAAAAAAACTCCGACAGACAGTTGCGAGAGGCTGATGACAACCGATTACAACCACACATTCACAGAATGGTCAAATTATCGTACATTTGGCCTTTTTTGGGATTATTGATCGTACATCGTACAGAGGGCAAAATTGTCGTACAAATACGATAATTATCGTACACCTGGCAGCACTGAACTCAGCCCTCACGTTGTAGCTGGCTGCAAACTATGAAATGGATTTCCTGAATGTGAGGCGGGTCTTATTACTCTGGGTTCATGAGACACGCCTCCATTCAGGAAATCCATTCCATAGTTTGAAGCCAACATGCATCATGGATGGGAAATCTCTGCAGGTTGGATCGGAAAAATCCGATACGTAAATTATGCTGGTATCTGAGGCCGATACCGATACTGGATCGGATCGGCCCCATCCCTATATATATATATATATATATATATATATATATATATATATATATAT